TGTCACTTGACAGCACACTACCCCAGCTGTAATTCCTATATTTTGTCTTCTGTCCTTGGGTTTTTCTTTTATTGTTGTTTACTTAGGTGTTCTGCAACCAAGGTTCTCGGGTAGTGTAGAAGATTTGGACTTTCCTGTTAATCTAAGAGTAGTCAATTGGAATTTACGGACCCCAAATATGGATGTAAGGCCTGGGGATGTGTCTTTGTGAAGGTCGCAACCAAGAAACCCTAATGGACCAGCTATGCTATGTAATAAATGGGATCACCATGAGTTGAATTTCATTCACTTAAGGAGAATGTTTTGATTCCATAAAGGAGTTAACATTTAAAAGACAACTTTCAATCACTGCTGGTTAGTGGATAAATGTGTCTGTTCTGTAAACTACATCATATTCTATTTGACTCCAATGAAGGTGATAATGTTCTAGTTTCTCAGAGTGACCAGCTCAGTACTACATCCCTGGATAGACTTTACATCCTCCTCAGTTTCACGTTTCATAGTTCTTTACTTCTATTTCTTGTGATTGCTTTCCACAATAAACTATCCACATTACATTGTCTCAGTCTTTTTAGGGGAGCCCAGATAAGTTGTTATAATGGAATTAGTATTGGACCAGGATCCAGGAGGCCTGAGTAGCTTTATCACAAGCTTGATATTGTGAAAATCACTTTATCAACTGCTAAGGTGAATATTTGTATCACCATTTTCAGATGCTCATAGATGATATATTTCAGCTAACAGATGCTGCTCTGGACGTGCTCACCAAGTTGTGCCAAGAAATCTGGAGAACAACTACTTGGCCAACTGACTGGAAGAGATCTATATTTGTTCCCATCCCAAAGAAGGGTGACCCAACAGAGTGTGGAAACTATAGAACAATATCATTTATATCACATACAAGCAAGATTCTACTAAAGATTATCCAAAAATGACTGAAACAGCACATCAGCGGAGAACTGCCAGAAGTCCAGGCTGGGTTTAGAAGGGGTCGTGGTACTAGGGATATGGTAGCTAATGTTAGATGGATCTTAGCTGAAAGCAGGGAGTATCAGAGGAATGTCTATCTGTGTTTCATTGACTATGCAAAGGCATTTGACTGTGGATCATAACAAACTGTGGCTGACTCTAAGAAGAATGGGAATCCCAGAACACTTGATCATTCTAATGCGAAACCTGTACTTGGACCAAGAGGCAGTTGTCAGAACAGAGCAAGGAAACACTGCATGGTTCAAAATTGGGAAAGATGTACACCAGGGATGTGTCCTGTCTCCATACTTTTTCAACCTGTATGCAGAACAGATTATCCGGGAGGCTGGGCTCAATGAGGAGAAGAGTGGCGTCAGGATTAGTGGAAGATCTATCAACAATCTGCGTTATGCAGATGACACAACCCTGCTTGCTGAAACTGAAGAGGACCTGAAGCGCTTGCTGCAGAGGGTCAAGGACTGCAGCCTCCAATATGGATTGAGGCTCAATGTCAAGAAGACAAAGATTCTCACCACTGGACCAATTGGCAGCATCAGGATGGATGGTGAAGAGACTGAGATTGTTCACAGCTTTAGTTTGCTTGGCTCCACAGTCAACACTCTCGACACCAGTTGCCAGGAAATTAAAAGACGTATTGTGATGGGAAAGTCAGCTGTTAGGAACCTCTCCAAAGTTCTGAAGAGCAATGGTGTCTCTCTGGAGACTAAGAGTTGGACAATGACCAAGGAGAATAGAAGGAGAATTGATGCCTTTGAGCTGTGGATCTGGAGAAGAGTGTTGAGGGTACCATGGACTGCTAGGAAAACAAATAGATTCTTCCTGGAGAGGGTTAAACTGGGTGGTTCCCTAGAGGCAAGGATTCTGACATGTTGTAAGGAAGGACAGGTCCTTGGAGAGGGACATCATGCTTGGGAGGGTGGAGGGACAGCGCAGGAGGGGAAGGCCCTCTATGAGGTGGATTGATTCGGTGACTGGGGTAATCGGGATGGGTGTATCAGAGACAGAGCGATTGGCACAGGACAGAGCAGAATTTAGGGCTCTTGTACATAGGGTCACTATGAGTCGCAAGCGACTCGATGGCACATAACAACAACAACAGACTGAAATGGAAAATTTCCAAAGTAATTTTACGAATAAAAGTCAAGAGTGATGTTTGCTGCATGATCTCTCTTGCATAATTAAAAGAAAGTATATGTACACATATATACTAGCCGATATACAAGGAGCCCTGATGTCACAGTGCTTAAACTTTGGGCTGCTAACCAGGAGATTGGTGGTTCAAACATTCCAGTCGCTAGGTGAAGAGTCAACCTCACTCAGCACTATAGAGTGAAATCCACTCATAGCTGATCCTCTAGCGGTTTTCAGATGTTGCGAATCGCAGGGGAGGAGATTGCTCATCTTTTCCCTGAGGAGTAGTTAGTGGATTTGACCCACCTGCCTTCCATTGGCAGACATCTCTTACCCAGTAGGTCACCGAGCTCTCCTTGGTAAAAACATTACAGCCTTGAAAATCGTAAGGGTAAATCCTACTATGAATTGGAATCGAGTTGACCGAAAAACTGGTTTAGTTTGATTAATGCATACCAAATGGTGAACTAACACAGTTTACTATATATTTTTGTATACACAAAACACAACCCAATTTTTACGCAGTATAAAATGATTTTTGTATACAATAATTTACAAGGCGAATGCAGCTTGTGTAATTAAAAAAAATAACGTCTCTATCAGAAGGCCATTGGATCATGTTCATGAAAAGTGCAGAGCAGGTTAACCATGCACTGAAAGATATCCGAGCAGTGCCCAGGTGAGCGCGCTAGGGGGCAGCGGAGCTAGGACAAAGGCAATGCTGGGGGCGAAGGCGAGCGGGAAGGAAGGGTGGCTGGGCCTTTGTGGTCACCAGAGGGCAGAAGTGTGGGACAACCTAAACTGACGTCTGCCTGCTCTTCCTCAGACTCTCAACACTAGACCAGCCATTTCCAAAGTTCTATTCCATCCCATTGCTGGCCCAGATTGGGAGATTTTCAGAATCAAGTGTTCCCTATACTCCCAAGGACGCTCAAAGTACTCTCAAAATTGGTGCTCAGCCGCTCTTCCTTCCTTCTGCTCCCCCTTTTCCATCTCACATCCACAGAGAGGGGAAACCGAGTCACTGAGAGGACAGTCCAGAGCCACCCAGGGAATCAGCGCCCACGCCAGCCCTCCGGGCCTCCTGGTTACTGGAGGTGGGGTGGGGTGGTGTGGTGCTGGGTGTTCACTAGGAAAATACACAAAAGAGGGTGAGGGGGAAGGCGGCTGGCCGGGCAGGAGTTGAGCCAGACACATGGAGAAACGCTGCCCAGGATCAAAGGAAATATGACATTTGAAAAGAATGTGCGTCTGCTTATGGACGGACAGGGCGGGGGTGTGTGGGGGAGCAGGGCTGGTCTAGATCTTGGGGTCTCTACCCCGTCGGTCTGATCTCAGCTTCCAGCCTCCTTCTGCTTTGCTTCACCCTTCCTGGGTGGGGTGGGGGTGCGGTTGGGTGTCTATTCGCCTCTTAGGTGGAGTCTGGCCACCAGCAAGGGGTATTTCTCGCTCCCACTGTCTGCTTGACTGTCTTTCCTTTATTTCCGAGATGAAGTTGGAAGGGAAACGTAACCCGAGGAGACCAACAACAACAACAAAAAATCCAGCCCGCCGTGGTCTCCGGCTGGGCCTCGGAACATTCTTCTCCCCGCCCGCCGGGACTCTCCGCCCGCCCCTCCTGCATCGCGGGCTGGGCTCGGAGCCGGGGCAGCTCCGCACGTCACTGGGGTCCCCGGAGGCTGGGGGGTGGTCCCCTGGGCTGGCCTGAAAGGACGAGAGTCGAGGGAGGGGAGCCGCCTCGGCTGCTTCTCGGGCCAGCCCTCCTCTTTCCCCCCAGCCCCGAACAGCCTGTTTCTCATTAGAGTAAAGGGCGCGGTCCCCGCCCGGCTCCTGAGAGTTTGTAAACGTCTGACCCGAGTGTTGTCGCTTCCTTAACCCTTTAGCCACCTAGCTTGGGCGGGACTGAGGATGGGACCCTGGAACCAGTCCGATTTAGAAATTGGCCATCACTCGAGTCACCCTTCCTTAACTCCCTCTCTGACAATTGGAGCCCCTCCACGCCTGCCCTTCTTGGAAAGTCCAGCCCTAATCTTCCTTCCTCCCCCTCCCAGGTGACAGGTGTCCCGTTTAGCATCCGCCCCCCCTGCCCCCAACCCGGTCAGGTTGCGGGGTGGGGTCTCTGGGCCCTTCGTAATGCTGGCCAGAATTTCCAGGAAAGTTGGATGGGGATGCCAGCGAGTCGAGGATTTATTGCAGACTACATTTCTAGGGAGGAGGGAGCCGACTTCCCGTGGGGGCTAATTAATGACCTTTCTGTCCTATAGGATCGCTTCGAGTCGGAATAGACTCTGTGGCAAAGAGGTTTTTGGGCAGACTGACTGGAACAAGGGTAGAAGTAAAGTCTGGCCTGGATTATCTGTCATTAGGGGCAATGAGCCTTTGAACAGTTCCCCAAGTTTTTCGTCTGAGACTGCTAGACATCTTTCACCTTTGGAGGAGAAAAGTCAGTGGGTGGAGGGACTGGTTTCGCAGGGTAAAGTCTCCAGTAGACCCTCACAGGGCAGCCTCGGGTCAAGGACTTCAGAGGAATGGCTTTCCCTTCTCCCTAGCAGCTCGTAGACTTTGCATCTCAGAGACAGTATGCCTCAGGCCTGGAGGGAATAGGTAGCACTCCCTTCTTGCTGGTAGCTGGTTGCCCAGGCCTTTATAACTTAAGTCTCTTCTGTGACTTCTGTACACTGGGAATCCACGTTGGGGCCCCTTTAAGGAGCTCGGACCCGGAGCCCTGAACTGACTAGACTTAAGCGTGGTAGTGACTGAGTTACGGGCGGGAAAAGATTGTCACAGACCCGAGCCAATAAGCATCATTAAGGCCCTACTACGCTTGAGAGAAGATTTCCCAATGCAGTTATTTATTTATTTTTAATTGGGGGGATGGGGAGGGGACGGAGGGAGGGCGCGTGGGGGAGGACAAGGGGCGCGTGGTTTTCCCATCTCATCCCAGGAGGAGGGGCTGGAGCATCCCCGGCAGCCAATCAGGGACTGGCTGGGGGGGCCGCCTTTGAAGAAGTTTGGGGGAAAAAAGTTTGGAAAAGTTTCTATAATATCGAGGGGGCGTCCAGAGGGAGGCGGCAGCAGCGGAGGAGGGGGCGTCTCAGAAAAGGGGAGGGAGGGAGCCGCGGGTGAAGACGCAGCGGCCTCCGGAGCTCACCCCTCCCACCCAGACCCGGACCTGGGGGCTCTGGCGCGTCCATGGGGGCCGCGAGCTGCGAGGATGAGGAGCTGGAGTTTAAGCTGGTGTTCGGGGAGGAGAAGGAGGCCCCCCCGCTGGGTGCGGGGGGGTCTGGGGAAGGTCAGTGTGGAACTGGGAAGGGGTCTTGGGTCAGTGAGAGAAGAGGCCGGGGACCCTGAGTCGGGGGAAACTCGGGCAGTGAGTCTGGGGTGGATGAAGAGGCCAGAAGTTGACGGGCGTCTAGGGGCTCGGGGAGGTCTGAGGAGGTGAGACTAGGGGCCCTGGGCACCACTTTCTCCTTTTTAGGTTGTGACTGGGGTAGGGGTGGGGGTGCTGTTGGCTGCGCGCCGCCTCCTGGCTGGGCCGACGGTCCCTGGGATGGGGGGCGGGTGGACACGGCGTCCCCGTGAGCCCCAGGGCTGTGGCAAGGAAAGGGAGGTCGGGTCCTAGACCTTGCAGGTAGCCCAGCGATGGGGGGGAGGGGGGGCGCAGACTGGACGCCCGGGGCGAGGGGAGCTCTTCAGCCCCGCCAAGGCGCCCCTCCCCCTCCCTCGTCTGGTCGCAATGAGAGGCAGATGGCGGGGACCGAGCTGGGGGCGGTGGCTGCTGCTCGCACGGAATCCGGGCCGCCCGCGGCCCCCCTGGCCAGACCCGGCCCCCCCTAGCCAGACCCGGCACGCAGCACCCCTCCGCTGCACCCCCGCCCCCGGATTGGGGGGAGCTAGGGCGGAGTCACCTCGTCCTCGTCACCATAGCCCTGGAGCCCCCCTCTCCTGGCCACGGTTGCGATGGCAACTGGGGTTATTGCCAGCGCCCGTTTAGGGGTTTGGGAACCGCTGCTAATTAGGTTCATGTGTGTGTTGCCCCCAGCCCAGCCCAGCGCCTCCCTAAACACGCCCCTAGGCTCAGCTCCAGCCCTATTGGGGAACCTCTCTCACCTTAGGACCTGCCCCTCGGGTACCCCCGAGCCTGAGGCGGGGGCTGGAGGAGGCTCCGAGACTGGGTTTTTCTCCTAGTGGGACAAGGCTTGATGGGTTTGAATCCGTCTCCTCCAGAGACAGTCTCAGACTCCACCTGAAGTTCAACTTTGGTTTTGTCTTTATGACTCTGAAGGACTCTTCAGACACCCCTCCTTTCGGAGGAGGGAGAGTCATTGCAGGACGTGGGGGTCTGGCCACTCAATGAACCTAGACATCTCAAGTGCCCCTTTCCCTCCCTATCTGCCGTGGCATCCCTTCCCCTCTCTTCTCTCCAATCCGCGTTCTCCCCACTTTTACAGAACTGGACTCAGAGGACGCCCCATCATGCTGCAGGCTGACCCTTGGGGAACCCCCTCCTTATGGTGCTGCCCCTATTGGCATTCCCCGACCTCCGCCCCCTCGGCCTGGCATGCATTCGCCACCGCCACGCCCAGCTCCCTCACCTGGCACCTGGGAAAGCCAGCCCGCCCGGTCGGTGAGACTAGGGGGGACGGGCACAGGTCCTGGGGGTGCTGGGGGCGGCCGAGTCCTCGAATGTCCCAGCATCCGCATCACCTCTATCTCTCCCACGCCCGAACCACCTGCCTCGCTGGAGGACAACCCTGACGGCTGGGGGGACAGCTCCCCCAGAGACTACGCCCCTCCAGAAGGCTTTGGAGGTTACCGCGAGGTAGGCCAGAGCAGCGGGCCCTTCTTCAGCCCCAGCCCGGGTAGCAGCAGCCTGTCGTCCTGGAGCTTCTTCTCCGATGCCTCCGACGAGGCGGCCCTGTATGCGGCTTGCGATGAGGTCGAGTCAGAGCTAAACGAGGCCGCCTCCCGCTTCGGCCTGGGCTCCCCGCTGCCCTCGCCCCGGGCCTCGCCTAGGCCGTGGACACCCGACGATCCCTGGAACCTGTACGGTCCAAGCCCCGGCGGCCGGGGACCCGAGGATAGCTGGCTACTCCTCAGTGCTCCAGGGCCCACACCTGCCTCACCGCGGCCTGCCTCTCCTTGTGGCAAGAGGCGCTATTCGAGCTCTGGAACCCCATCTTCCGCCTCCCCAGCTCTGTCCCGCCGCGGCAGCTTGGGGGAAGAGGGATCTGAGCCACCTCCACCACCCCCGTTGCCTCTAGCCCGGGATCCTGGCTCCCCAGGTCCCTTTGATTATGTGGGGGCCCCACCAGCTGAGAGCATCCCCCAGAAGACAAGACGGACTTCTAGCGAGCAGGCTGTGGTCTTACCTCGGTCGGAGGAGCCTTCTCCGTGCAATGGGAAGCTGCCCTCAGGAGCCGAGGAGGCGGTGGTTCCTCCAGGGAGCTCCCGGAAGGAGGTGGCAGGCATGGACTATCTGGCTGTGCCCTCTCCACTCGCTTGGTCCAAGGCACGGATTGGGGGACACAGTCCTATCTTCAGGTGAGGGTAAACCTGGCACTGCAGTCAATGCATTAGGAGAGCAGGAGGGGACAACAGATGCACTGAAAGAAGTTTTGTGCTCTCCACTTTCAAAAGAAAATTTGCAACCTGTAGGTTAGATGCAGCCTAGTGTGTTTCAGTGACACTCTCTTGGTGGACCAATTAGATACAGGGTCCCACATTTTAGGAGGATCAATTAGGTAAAGGCATTTGCACTAGTCCTTAGGAACCAAGCTCTGGGCCCTGGTGTGAGGCTGGGTTTGGAATGAGGGCAGAATTTCAGCCTTCCACTCTGGTTCAACAGGTATGCACTTTCTTTGTTGCAGAGAAATCCTTTCTTTACACCTCAGTTTCTAGGCCCTGACCTAGTAGCTTAAAGTCATAGTTGCTAATTTGAATAAAATAGTATATATTTGCAAGTCAAATTATTCCTATTAAAGTAGATAGTGCTTGCAGTTCGACTACTCGTTCCTTCCTTTCCCCCACAATGAACTCCATTCATATCAATGATCCTAAACCTTGAGATGTCAGGCTAGCTCCATTCAGGTAAGTTTCCTAGGGAAAGAACTCTTATCAGACCAGCTCTCTTAAGGCAGAGTTCTCCATCTCTGTTCTCTTAAACAGGCTAATTCTTCACTGTGGGGGCGTCTTCTGGTCATTACAGTATGTCCAGTGACATCCCTGGCCTCCATCCATTAAACGCTGGTAGCATTCCCTTCTTTGGTTGTGACAATCAAAAATGTCTCCCTGCCTTGCCAAATATCGCTTGAGGGGAGGGAAGGTGAGATCACCTGTTGAGATCCACCCACTGCCCTGGGCTACCTGGGAGCTCAGTAAAGGAAAATTACTTATCTGTAACCCCCTGTCCAGCTCTAAGTAGTAGATGGAGTGCTAGACCAAGAGCAGAGCAGCCACTGGCTGAAGCTCTTACACCCACTAGTTTGCTTGGTCTCTTCCATTCTACTCTTTGGATCTCAATTTCTTCCTTTGTAAAGCAACACTGCTAATTGCTAAAATATTTTCTGAACTGGAGTGGTATTTCTTCACCTCCCTCTTCTCATCCAGGACTGAGGTGTTAGGATGGATTGGGAGTTCAGGTGAACACTGCCTCCACAATGTTACGCTCAGAGCTGAGAAGGGGGCCTCAAGCCTACCTTCACCTCCGTCTCTTCATCTCAGATAGCTCCAGGAGCCCTATCTCCTCTCTCCTAGTTTCTGGATTGGTGGAAATCCTTTTCCTTCAACGTTCGCGCTCCTGCTCTAAAAAGCTGAGACCAAGGGCGACTTGGTCACTGCTTTTCCTCTTCCACCAGGACTTCTGCTCTGCCCCCCTTGGACTGGCCTCTGCCTAGTCAATATGAGCAGCTGGAACTGAGAATCGAGGTGCAGCCTAGAGCCCACCACCGGGCCCACTATGAGACAGAGGGAAGCCGAGGAGCTGTCAAAGCTGCCCCTGGCGGTCACCCTGTGGTCAAGGTAAGGGGCAGGGGCCAGCACTGATAGCCTTTCTCCTCTCCTCTCCCAGATCCCTACACATGCTCCTGCTTTACAGACACATGGCACTGCCCTTTCCCACACTCTCTCTGCTCTGACCCTGCAGGCAGCCTAAGGGAGGGGCTGGAGTTAAGGGAGGAGGGATGCATGTCAAGGACCCGGATATACTTTCTACTACTCTGTCCTTCCACTCTGAACTCAACTCATCCCATGGGACACCAGCCTCATGTCTGCTCCGGAAAAATGGCCTGCCAGCTGTGGGAGGAGGGCTGGGCGAAGGCTAGAGGTCACTGGGAATTGGGCTGTCCTTTAGTTGATGTGGGCCAGTATCTCTTGGAAGCTCTTCTGTCTTCCTCTAACCCAGTTTTGGCCTTATTTCAAGAATAACATTATGAACTCCAGGCCACATTTTCTCTACAACAGAGGCCCAGATTTCCCAGGGGATTCCTTTTAAGCTTTCCTTTATCTTTTACTTATCCATATTCCCTGGTGGATATAAAATTCAGGGATGGATGAAGGGTGAATCAGTAGGGATTTTAATTGAGTGGCTCTGTCTTCCTCTGTCAGCTTCTAGGCTACAGTGAGAAACCACTGACTTTACAGATGTTCATCGGTACTGCCGACGAGAGGAACCTGCGGCCTCATGCCTTCTATCAGGTGCATCGAATCACAGGCAAGATGGTAGCCACGGCCAGCTACGAAGCTGTGGTCAGTGGTACCAAGGTGTTGGAGATGACCTTGCTCCCGGAGAACAATATGGCAGCCAAGTAAGTTCCCACTTAACTTCCCTGCAGTCTGCAGAGTTAGGGCCAGCTTTTTGCACTGGGGCTAAGTTAGGTCCACTTCCTCTTGCCAGAAATGTGAGAGATTCCCTAGAGCCCTTTTCAGGTCTTCTCATGATCAAGGAGAGGATTTCTGAGGCTGGGGAAATTCTGGAGAGGCTCCCCTGGGTTAGAAAACAGCTTCCACAGCTCCCTCGAAAGGCCATTTGGGGCTCTGGAGAGAAGGTGGAGAGGTCTTTGGGGTTGTATCACCATTCTGGCCTGAGCAAGAAGAGCTTACCATCCATTTCCTTTACCTTCAAGCATCGACTGTGCTGGAATACTTAAACTTCGGAACTCAGACATTGAGCTTCGAAAGGGTGAGACAGACATCGGGCGCAAGAATACTCGTGTGCGGCTGGTGTTCCGCGTGCACGTGCCTCAGGGCGGCGGGAAGGTCGTCTCCGTGCAGGCAGCATCGGTGCCCATCGAGTGCTGTGAGCAAACAGGCCCTCTGCCATTCCTGTCTTCCTGTCTCTTGTGACTCTGGTTTGTCCAGCTGTCCATTCTGTTTTGGCCCAGGACACGGTGCTGTCTCCCCTGGACAGTCCTGTAGAGGGCTCTTCAACTCTCATTTCTACCATGGGAATGGGGTGTTTGTCTATGTGTAGATCTCTGTATGTGTGTGCGCGTGCGCGCACATATGTGTCTGTTTTATAGTTTGGCTTCCGCCACAACCACTCTGTCCCTAGGCTGGTCCATAGACTCTGTACCCCAGCTGTGCCTGGGGTAGCTCTGTGCACTTGAGTATTCTGATCACCATTTTCCGACGCAAGAGTGACACCTTGCATGGTCTGTGCGACGTCAGGGATAATGTTGCTTTACCTGTTTTGTCTCCCTCTGAGGAAGGCTTCCCTAGAGGCCCCTGGATGCTCCTAAGGCTTGATGGTTGGGTGTGTGTGTGTGGGGGGGGGTGTCAGAGAAGACTTTCTCTTCAGTACTTTGCCCAGCCATTCTTCTTCCCTGCACGGCTCTGCAGCCCAGCGCTCGGCCCAGGAGCTGCCTCAGGTGGAAGCCTACAGCCCCAGTGCTTGCTCCATGAGAGGGGGTGAGGAACTAGTGCTGACCGGCTCCAACTTCCTGCCAGACTCCAAGGTGGTGTTCATTGAAAGGGGCCCTGGTGAGTACTCCTTGAAGAGGGAACGGGCAAGGAGGAGAGGTCAGAAAGAGCTTGGAACTAGCAAATGGGAGCTCCCTGGCACTGCTGCTAAATTAGCCAGCTCAGCCTCAGTTTCTTTATCTGCAAAATGGCAAGGAAAAATTGCCCCCTCCTGTGATACTATCTCTGTCCCATGGGGAGCTGTACATGACAGCCATCTGAGAATGTTGAACTATGCGTTGTTCTGTATAGAGGAGTTAGATTTGAGATAATGTCCCACCTCTATGTGGATGGGGTATAGAGGTGAAGGGTAGAAGTGACTTAGAACCCCACCCTGAAACCCTCCTCATTTGGACTAAGGGTCTGGTAGCACGCAACTCAGCCTGTGATTACTGAGCCCAGGACAGTGCTGCAAGAGTGGAGAAATGGAAGATTGAGGCCTCTAGATGCACCCACCCACCTAAGACCTTTGCCCACCCAGAGCCCTATGCCCCAGGGACCATGGCTTCTATATTGAAGTTTAGTGCCCTGGAACCATGCACATTCCAGAACTCTGGAATCTCATTAGCTCCCTTCAAGCCAATCACCCCTACCTTACCTATCTTTGCCCTTCTCCCCTGCACAATCATGAGATGGATGTTTGGAGCTGGGTGGGGAGTTTGAGAGTTGCTTCTGCCACTATTCCCTGGGGCCCTGCCATTGCCCTTGATCTCAGTTTGCTGCTCTGTGGACCCTTACATAATTTATGAGGGGACCACAGTCCTGCTACAGTTTAAAACACCACCTCTTCCTTTCTCTTGGGTAAATGTACAGTGAGTTTGACTGTGTGCCAGGCCTTCTAGGAGGCTTCTGAATATGGCCATGGCTCTAGTAGATATGGCAGAGGACTAGTGCAGGTGGCAGAGGCTCCGGCATCGGGCTTGAGATCTTTGTTCCATCTGCACAGATGGAAAGCTGCAATGGGAAGAGGAGGCCACGGTGAACCGGTTGCAGAGCAATGAGGTACCAGTGTTACAAGGGAGACCATCCTGGGGCTGTGGGGGACGATATGGAATTCTGAACAAGATACCTTTGCCCTAGAGAATGAACTCCAAAAGCTACATATTACTTTCTGAGGGAGGCAGCCCAACTGTTCATCCCTACAGAATGAACTTTGGCTCTTGGCAAATGTAAAAAGCTGGAAGGTGGAGTTTTCTTGGAAGGGCTAGACGGATCCTAGACACCTGGGGGTTCACATCTCATCTGCTCTTCTCCAGGTGACACTGTCCGTGACTGTACCTGAGTATAGCAACAAGCGGGTGTCCCGGCCAGTCCAGGTCTACTTTTATGTCTCCAATGGGCGGAGGAAGCGGAGCCCTACCCAAAGTTTCAAGTTCCTTCCTGGTACGCTCTAGGGCATAGGGATATGGCGAGCTAAGACAGGGTGCAGAGTGAAGCAGTGACCCCATTGTGGGGGCTACAGGACGGATGAAATCTGAAGCTAGAAGGCTGGGTGGTTGGTATGTGTACAACGAGGACACAGCTCAACCTCTCACCAGCTCGTCATCCTGCTTCCCCATCTACCTAGTGATCTTCAAGGAGGAGCCCCTTCCAGACTCATCTCTACGGGGTTTCCCTTCAGCACCTGGGCCCCCCTTTGGCACTGACATGGACTTCTCACCACCCAGGCCCCCCTACCCTTCCTATCCCCATGAAGACCCTGCTTATGAAACTCCTTATCTGTCAGAAGGCTTCAGCTATGGCACAGCCCCTCTGTACCCCCAGACGGGACCCCCACCATCCTACAGACCTGGCCTGCGGATGTTCCCTGACACGGGGGGTACCACAGGTTGTGCCCAACCACCCCCAGTCTCCTACCTTCCCCGCCCCTTCCCTACTGACCCTTATGGAGGACGGGGCTCCCCTTTCCCCCTGGGGGTACCATTCCCTCCTCCAGCCCCATTTAGGTCCCCACTACCTTCATCCTCACCCCTTGAAGGTCCTTTCCCTCCTCAGAGTGGTGTCCATCCCCCACCTGCTGAGGGGTTCAATGAGGTAGGGCCAGGCTATGGCCCTGGGGAGGGGGCTCCGGAGCAGGAGAAATCCAGGGGTGGCTACAGCAGCGGCTTCCGAGACAGTGTCCCTATCCAGGGTATCACACTGGAGGAAGGTGGGTGTGGGACTGGGGGCTGTGAGTATGAGTGTGTGAGAGGTTGCTCTGCATGTTAGCTGAGGGGTCTCTTCTGGGTGGGTTGGAACCTGGCTTCCCAGAGGGTGGGCATTCTTGGTTTCTCAGGGACAAGTGGAAGGTCCCAGAAGGCAAGCTCCTGGTGCTCATGGCTACTTGAATCTAGTTAATTTAAGTCGAAAGGGTGTGTGGAATACTTGCCCACACCTTTTTTCTGCCTCTGCCCAAATTACAAAATTTTAGGGCTAGAAAACTTCCAAGATTATTTAATCCAGTTCCTTTAATTTGAAACTTCAGGTTTGAAATTTTAGACAGGAGCTCGTTGAAGTATCAGTTACGCATATTTTCCCTTGCTTCAACTCTTTCCCCAAACATGAGGACTATGGTAGGATTAGTGGCTAGAAGCCTTCCTATTTTGCCTCTCCTTCTCCCCACCACTGCCTGGACAATACTGTTTGCCCCTGACAGTGCCTTTGCCAAGGTAGCAGGCGGTGGTGGGAGAGGATGAGGGGAGGTGTTGGAGAGTGGGAGCTCATGTGGATGGAGTTAGGTAAGGCTGAATTAGAAGCAGGTAGTTAGGCCGGCATATAACAACAACAACAACAACAACAACAACAACAGGCCTGATGGAAAAATAAGGCTCAGTGGAAGAGACGGCAATAGAGGGCGTCCTAGAGGCACTGGAGTCTACCTAGAATGGATGGAGGGGTTTGGAAAATAAGGGGACCTACCCTAGACCAGTCTTTCAACTGCCCCTCCTTTACAGTGAGTGAGATCATTGGCCGAGACCTGAGTGGCTTCCCCGCACCTCCTGGAGAAGAGCCTCCTGCCTGAACCATCACCTGACAACCCCAGCCCCCTACCCCCAGCCCACCCACTCTTCCTTCTTCCTGGATTGGTGGTTCCAGAAAGTGGGGACCACCAACTCTGGTTCCTGCTTCTCCAGCTTTCCCCAGCCTTTCCACAATTGTCCTTCCTCTGCTCCTGCTGAGTTGTGGCCCCTGGGCCTGGTGCTACCTTGCAGGGGTGAAGAGAGGAAGTGTGGAGGACTAGGAGGGGGGAGGAAGCCAAGACTGGGCTGGCACACAGCTGTCTGGAGTGAAGGCTGTGTGTAGATTATGTACAGACTGTGGTGCTGGGAGAGAAATAAACTGTTCACTGATTAGTGCCTCAGGCTCCAGAGCTCTTTGGAGAGGGGGTGGGGCAGGTTAGTTTAACCCTGGTCCACAGAGGCTGAGTGAGAGGTTGGAAAGAGATGGGGTGTGGCTGGAAACACTGCATCCTGGTTTATCTTCTTGGAGGAGGGAGCCTGGGGAGGGGGTGAAGAGCTTCCTAAAACTGAGGGGCTGAAAACTGAGAGGGACCGTGGCCAGGGCTTGAGTAAGGTCTCTGCCCTCTCCTTCCCGGACATTCAGATTCCTTTAAGAGTTGTTTGGATGGAATCTATGGTTTTAAAAGTTTCTTTTACTTCTCATTACCTAGATGATTCCAATTCCGTAACCAAAGATAGGGTACATTGATCTTGTCACTTTCTCTCATTTATAGAGATAGAATCTAAGGCTCAGAGAGGGAAAGGACTGGCCTAAGGTCACAGTTAATTAATGGTAGGTTGAGCACCGAATTCCCAGCTTCTGATCTCATCACAGTCTCAGACACCTTGACCAAGAAGGTTCAAGCTCCTGAAACTAGTCTTCCTGGAATGTGTGTGTGTGTGTGTGTGTGTGTGTGTGTGAGTGTGTGGGAAGTGATATAAATCCGTCCAAATTTTCCGTTTTCCCATCTTTGGGGACCATGAAGACAGGCCTGTTGACCAGGAATAGACTCCAGAAAACCAAGCAGCCTCCTTGGAAGCACAACAGCTACCTGTTTGGGGTCTCAGGGCATCCTGGGAGTTCCTGTCTGACCCTGTGTACACATTCATGCTGGCCTCCTAAGTAGCTGGTGTATCAACACCAGCTGACAGGCATAGTTTGGAAACCCAGTTTGTCTTCTGTCTTGGCAGCATGAGAGCCAAATCCTAGTAGCTTGGAATATTTAGGCCTTGCTTGTCCTTCACACTATGATCTAGCACATAATAGGCTCTGAGAGCCAGTAGCTTGAAGTGGGCTTGACTCAGCTTTTGTGGGCAATGTTACTGTTGTTGTTAAGTGCCGTTGAGTCACAGGCGACTCATAGCGACCCTATGAAGGAGAGTCCTCAATGCTTGGTTGTCTTTCAGCCTTTCTCCAGGTTCATAGGGTTTCCGGAGACAAGCTGTTACGGAAGTGGATGCCACTCCTGCTTCCAAGCTTGTTTTAATTGGGGAGCTCCACCCCACTCTCTGTCTGCATTGGGTAACCAACCAATAACACATTTGACACATCAGTGTCACAGTGTTCAGCCTCATAGCAAGCACAAGTGACCGCTGTTTGGCAACTTGTATACCAGGGCTATACGACCTAGAGGAATGTCTGAACAAAAACAATGAAAGACAGGCCCAAGGGCCACAGATTAAAAGTCACCCACATTTGGCTTGGTAGCATCACTTTCTGTCCGTTGGGCCAGCTGAGAATATTCATGAAATTAGTACTTGGAAAACTTGGTTCACATCAAGGCTGAGGGGATGTCTTTCTGCCTGGTGGATCTAGAGAGGTCTGGAAAGTCACGAGTTCTTGACCAAAGCTTAGGTGAATGTGACTAAAGTTAGCTCTGGATTGGAGGATGGGAGAACCAGGGTGACACTACCGTTCTCCCCTTATCCCTGACCTTGGCAAGCTGCTACTTTCTAATAAATTTTCTTTATCTTCCTGAACACAAATAGACATCAAAGGATCATCTCCCTGGGCCTTGGCTACTCTGCAAAGATATACTCCCATTTTTCTCTAGTCAAGTCATTGCACTGTAATTTCCTGGTCAAAGGGATCCTGGGCCTCATCTTCACTCTTAGCATTCTTGAACTGTCTTTCCAATACCCCTGCTAAGAGATGAGACACCCCGTGCGTGAAAACAGAGCTTCAGCAACGAAAATTCACTGCATCACAACTCAGGTAGTTTCATCTATCAGGGAGCAGTTTTCATGATCAGATATTTACTGAGTAGCTGCTAAGTGCCAATCACTGGACATCAGGCAACCTCTTAGATCTTGGGGCAACAGCTAATTGCAATTCAACTTGGTAAGTATACGTTATACAGATAGTGTGCCAGGCCTTTGGCAGTGGATAATATAAATACAGGCTGTAGAGGGAGCTGAGATCAGGGGCAGTCTATCCAACTATGGTGAGTTGAAGGGACCTCCAAGAGTTGACTGCTTGATGGGATCTGAAGAAAGATTGAGCACTGAGCAGGATCTGAATAGGAAAGGTCAGGCCAAGTGGAAAGACCAGCATGGACAAAGTCCTAGAGAAGAAAGGCAAATCAGAAAGGCTGCTCTTGAGGGTTCAGCATCCCTGGAAAACTAAGAGCAGCTCAGTTTAGGAGGATAAGGGTGAGGGGCAGGGTAAGTCTCAATGCAGTAAACAGTGAGGAGATGCTGGAGAAGGAAGCTGGAATCTGAAAGTCCTTGTTAGCCATCCAGGAAATTTAGATTTATCCTGAACATGGTAGGAGCTTTCTCACTAGACTACAGAACTTAAGCTGGGAGCAATGTAACAAATTTGCCGTAATTTCTTTCTCATGTTGAACCTGCATGTTCTTTCTGATTGCCTTGCTTAGCTTTGCATAGGTCTTGTTCTGCCCTCTGGGCCCATACTATTCGATGCCATCTCCCCTTCCTATAGAATCCTGATGTGAGTGAACTTCCTTGGGCCCTTCCACAGGCCTAGAACTGCCAGAGTCATTGTCTCTTCCCAGGCCTCTGCATGTACCCAACTCTCTGGAGGTATAGGTGAGAGAAAAAAGCTTTAGTTGGTGCCAGCAAAGGCCTCATTGGATGGGGTTTCTCAAAATATGATTGACCTATGAATTGCTTGCATCTGAACCACAAGAGTATTTTGTTTATATGAAGATTCTAGGCAACTTTGACCTAGTCAGTCGTGTTCTTTGTGGGCAGGGCCTAGGTATCTGCGTTTCAAAGAGTACCTCACTTGAGTCATCAGAGATGGGAAGCCTGAGTGTCATATACCAATTAAATTTCCCTCCTTCCCATGCCAAACTCTAAAATAACTTTCTGTCTCCTTTTCACAAGCTTTTTCTGGACTACTCTGGGTAGAGCGACACCTGGAAAAAGGTAATTAAAGAAAGGACAAGAGCATACACATTCCTGACAGTAACTCATCTCTGCCCTCCCCTGGATCTGTTTTGGTAGGGTGGGCTTCGTGGCAGCCCACAGCCCAGTTGCAGGAATAGCTGCGAAAGGCCTGGGAAGGGGCACGTTGGATAGCCTTCCAGTTGTGTGTTGGGCATTGCTTGGAGTCAGTTTTGCTAATGCCTTGGATCCAGCAACTCTACTTTCTAAGTGTTGTGTACTTACTATGACTGCAGAGAAGTGACCATCTGATGTACACCAGGAAAATTCCAACTGCAGGAAGTGCAGGGGGATTTTTATTGGTTTTTCAGTGGGCCGGTTTTAGTTGTTTTAGTGTGTGACTATTTACTACATCAGCTCCCCACAAAACTCTCCAGGACTTCTGCTCTCCAAGCTCTGTCCTGTGCTAAGTGTTATATGATAATTTTAGGGCCTTGCCCTGGAGGAGCTGATAATGCATTCACTGGTGGAAGCAATTTTCTTGTCTGGAGATCAGGGTGAGAAGGTTTGATTGAAGCTTGCTTGAGAGGCAGCAATGGTATGCTGCTTTGGAAAAAAATCATAACAGAGCCTTGAAAGAGAAACAAAGAATAGTTTGCAAAACCAGATGATTTTCAACTAGATCTTACAGAAAGAGTGGAAGGTGTTTTTTGTTTTGTTTTTTTTTAAAACATGATATTGATGAGAGGAGGTCATACCTAGCTAGGGGTTAAGTTATATGAGGTCAAGACAAGTACATGGACCGGAACCCAATTTGAGATGCTTTATTATGTTTTGCTAAAGAATGTATTCGGTGGATAATGAGATATTTAAGATTTAGAAGTTGTATGTTGTTGTTATGGGCTGTCAAGTCGCTTGCAACTCATAGTGACCGTAAATACAAGAGCCCTAAATCCTGCTCTATCCTGTGCCAACCTTATTGTGTCTGACACACCTACTGCCACTGCCCCAGTGACTGAATCAATCCATCTCATTGAGGGTCTTCCTCTCCTGGGCTGTTCCTCCATCCTCCCAAGTATGACGTCCTTCTCCAAGGACTGGTCCCTCCTTTTAACATGTCCAAAGTATGTCAGATGAAGGTTCAGAATCCTTGCCTCCAAGGGGCAGCCAGGTTTCACCTTCTCCAGGATGAACCTGTTTGTTCTCCTAGCAGTTCATGTTATATTCAATACTCTTCTCTAGCACCACAGCTCAAAGGCATCAATTCTCCTTCTATCATCCCTAGTCATTGTCCAGCTTTCTGTTGCATAGCAAGCAATTGCAAAAAGTATGACCTGGATCAGGCACAGAAGCTGTATGAGAGACTGAAAAACTGATGAGGGATACCAAAGGAGTTTTGCAGTAGCCTGAGCTCTACTTACAGCTTATAGGATGCACTAAGGTGAAATTTAGTGACTAGTGGAAAAGGAATGGGATTCAAGTGTCAGGCCCAACTAGGCCCACCTGCCTCATTTGCAAATTCTATTAGCTCCTAATATTTGCCAGGATTTGTGATCAAGGCACAGGGGTAGAGCAGTGAATGAGACAAGCATGATTCATCTCCACGGAATTTAAAACTTAGTGGAGAACAAAGACAAATAAATGATCAAGAACATAAAAATGTGTAAGGTGGTGGAGGAGTTGAGGCTGT